TACTGTCTGCTCCTTTGTAGATAAAGATTGCAGACCCTGTAACTAGATTTTCTGTGCCTTTGGGCTATTTATTTAATCTCACTAAGCATCATAGAATCTTATCTCTATAGATTTGGAAAGAGCCTTAAAAGTAATTCTTGTTATATGCTGCATACATCAACTTTCAGAGTAACTGGTAAATGGTTACTTAACTACTCTTCCAAAAAGATGTGAATCAAAAATCCTATGGTCTCATGAAACAGTACAGACTTATTTGCAATAATTATAATTTTAAAACAGATAAAAATGCGTTCTCCAGGTTGAGCAAAACGTTTCTGCCCCTGTGACTTTTGTGCCTAGTCTGATGGCTGCCTCTGGGGCCATGGAGAATAAATATAATCTCTCTTCTACTTGAAAGCACTTTAAGAATTTGACCATGCTGTCATATCTCAGAGTGATTTTTGTGATTATGCGTAGTGTCAGCAATGACGGAGGTGAAGAACTCAGATATAAACCTTGCAAAGTAAGCTCTTCTCCAGAAGGCAGAATTGTCACCTTCCTTGATATGGTTGTCACCGTTGCATGAGGGGATGGGAGTCACTGCTTAGGTCAAGTTTTTATGAGCTCCCACATGCATGCCTGGGAAAGCGTCCCAAGAGGGAGATGTTTGGGTATGCTAACTTCTCCCTTCCTTCTAGGTGGGATGGCCCACCTCCCACTTCCTCTTCAATGAGCCCTGTGAGTCTTTTGATGCGTGCAAAATTGACAACAAAGCCCTAAAAGCTGCTAGAGTTTGTTTCTCAGCTCCAAGAGACTGCAGATGCTGTTAGCAGGCTGTGAGGTCCCAGAACTCAGCCCAGTGAGACCATCCATACCTCTTCTACAGAGGTAACATGCTCTTAGCCAGGGGAAAGCCAAGCTCCTGCACAGTGGCCCTGCTCCCGCCTAAAGCCTGAGCATGGGGTTGGACCAGAAGGCTCTGTTCTCAGAGAGTGTGAGCAGCGGGAAGCCTGTGAGAAGTTCTGTCTCTTCCTTGGAGGTGACCATAGTCAGGGCACAGTCATGCCAATGGAAAACACTCAAATGAGCTAAACTGTCACTGAAACTACAAGTCCCATTTAGATTTGTATCTGATGTCCCCTCCTAAATATGAAGATTTTATAGTGCTTTATTCACAATAATTGCATTTATTCCAGTTCAAGGAGTGGTAGCTTATGAGCTGGGACCTGATGAGAAGAAATTCTTTGTCTCAATTTCTCCAAGGTGCCTGAAAGCTTTTTCTTGTTTATCCTCTAATGATCCTTAGCTAAAATCCCTCTGTAAGTTGGGGTCTCTGCCTCCTTCATTTTTTGATATCAGCCAACTAGAAAGCCAGGAATATCTCCACACCCATGTTCCCTTCTGCTTTCAATTTGTCACCCCCTATTATCAGTCCTATCAATTTCTGAAGTCTAGCTCCTTCTCCCTCTGGTCCATACCACTGCCTAGGGTAGCAATGTCTCACTTCTTACCTTTCCAGCTTTTACTGCCATCACTTCCCATTCCGAGTTAATATCTGACACTTCTGAACGGTTTATAATTTCACACCCTCTCCTGTATTATCTGTTCCACTTCCTTCCCTTCCTGATTTGTTTGTCTTATTCCTATCCAGCTATTAAAATTTATCCCAAGTATCTCTTACAACATTTCTTTTGAAATAAGCTGAATATTATCCCTTATCTGAAATATCTGGGACCAGAGTGTTTTGGATCTTGAAATGTTTGGACTTTGAAGTATTTGCGTATACAGTATGTAAAGAGATGGCTTGAAAATAGGACCTCTGTCAAAACGTAGGTTTCTTTATATTTGTAGACAGACAGACTGTCTGACAAACGAGCTTTTACAGGGTTTATTAGAGTGCCTGTGTTCTGACCCTGAGACATCACAGCAGGCCAGGTGTGGAATGTTCCATTCCTGACATCATAGCGATGTTTGAAAGTTTTGAATCTTGAGCATCTTCAATTTTGGATTTTCCAGTTGGTGATGCTCCACTGGCCCTCCTTTCCCTCTGCTCCCCTGGCCCCCAGCTTCAGTCATTGCCCTTCTATATGCCCCGAGAGAGTGGACGTCTTCATCAATGAGTGGAGCACTTCCTGCTTCACGGTGGGCTGTGGTCTCCCTCGCAGCAGGAGCCGCTCTCTGGTGTTCATCCCAGTTTCCCAGGGATTTGTTTCAGTCCTGATATGACTGGGCCTTAGCGAATGCTGTTTATGTCCATCAATGTTAAAATCAACTTGAGGGTGGCCGTGACTTGAGGTCCCCCACCCAAGAGCAGCATGCAAAGAGAAACATCGAGAGAATGCTCCATCTGGTGGAACATCGCCCCGAACCCCTGTAGCAATTCTCCCTCAGAAGAAGTTTTTATAGCAACACGCGTTATTGGAAACCATTCCCTCCGTGAATCTTTAACAACGATTAGGATAGTTTTCTCATTTCTGATTTTTACAACCGAAAAACAGACTCTCAGGAAACTGTATGAATTTTGAGATTTCAGAGACAGGGGCAAATCATCTACTTTCCCATTGTATCTAGTAAATTCTGTGTCACATCAGGGCCCCCGCGGAGCCCTCTCGGCCCTGCATTGGCAAAGGAGTGGTGCTTTACTTCTGCTTTGTTTATCGTAATGAACTGGTCAATAAACATCACAAATTATTTATCTATATAAATCTTGACAGATTATGCTTTATGAAATCCATTTAGCAAGTGAGGTTTTCCCATAAGGATGAAAAATGAAGATTTTAAACAGATTGCCGGAGAAGCTCTGACTGTACCAAGAGAGTCGGTGTAATAAAGGTTTCTTTATATTAATATTACAAAAACCATTTATCCTGGCAAAATCAATATCACAATTCATCTTAGTTTGGTGTTTCTCTTTCTAAGCTTAAAATGTCTTTTCCTTTATTACGTATAATTTTGTTTTAATAAACGTGAAATATATTTCATTTAGGAGGCACTCTGGAGGAGGGATAACTTATAAACTGACATCAAGCTTGTACCTCATTTGCTAAAGAGGCTTGGAAATATTTGAAATTACATTTGAGTGGCTGAGAAATTTAAAGGAATCATTTTACTTAAACCTTAATTACAAAATCAGCCCTTGTGTCCTTTGGGCTAGAAACAAGCTAAGATATTCAGAAAAGTCTCCTCCAAAGAACTGTGCCTGGGGAAAACACTCTTACTGATATTAAGCAATTATAACAAGTCAGATACGTCCAATATCACAATGGCTGGAAGAAGAGACTATAAAATCAGGAATAGACACATTTAATTACTCAAACAGTGTATGCTTTCCTATGGAGTGATATATTCATTCCATTTGGATTCGGAACTTAATATGCCACAGATATTGACATAGCTGACTCCGAGTTATGTGTGTAGCCGTTGGCTGGAGGAAAACAGAACTACATCAAGCAAAGGGATGGCGATACAGCAGGAACCTATTACTCTAAATGCACTGTATGCAAAATACGTGTGATTGTCTCATGAGTGAACGATAATAAAAATCAAAATACTCAAGAGACGTTTATTTAGGAGTGGTGTACTGATTTATAAATACATATACACACATATACACATGCTGAGAGTGGCTTTCTTCTTATCGTTTATGCTCACCAATATTACATTAAATGCCTACAAACAATATAGTCTTGTAGCATATAATGAAATTAAGAACCGAGTCTTTCACTGCTGTTATAATTTCATTTTAATTTCAATGCCCAATTTCCTTCAGCTCTAGTCCTTCCCCGCAACAAAACATCTATTTGAAGTGGAATTCTGATAGAATGTGTACAGATAAAAGACCTAATATAGTTGTTTGTAGGGGGAAAAATGTCTTTTCATCACGACAATAAAAAGGGCTAGCAACAGTCCGCTGGTTTTCAGGAGAAACTGTACTTTATTTATTCTCGAGGGGACATTAGTCCATAAAACAAATTTGAAGCTTATTTGGCAGCCTTGGCTTTTATCAGCCTTTGGAAGGATGCGGAATGATTACCCGGGAGAGCACACTGTAAAAGTTGCAGTGGGGGAAAGTCACTCTTCCATCAGCGTCTCTGTTAGGACCTCTGGGCGGCTCCCGTGGGGCTGTCTCAGTGTGTCAGGAGAGGAGTCCCTGCTTCAGTGTCTCTCTCTTCTTGTCTTTGTCTCTCTCATACTTTCATGGCACCCAAATTGCTGATCCTAACCTACCCTAAGCTATGGGCTTAGGGTAAATGCATGGTCAATCCACTCTAAGGAAATAGATTGCAATATCTGCCATCAGAAGTGTCTCTGGTCTTACTTGTACAAATGGCTTTAGTCCCAAGAAACCTAAGCTGCAGTGACTTCAACTCATTCCTTTAATATCATTACCATCTTTGCCCACATAAATAATACTCTCATTTCCAGCTGCTCTGAATTAATGCCCAAGTATTCTGGATAGTAATATATGAAATACAAAAATAAAATACAATACCTGTTACAGCATCAACCATACTAGAGCCTGTCTTCCTAAAGTGTTTAACAAAATTTAGTCTCTATAAAACCAGTACAGAACTTAAAGTTTCTTAGGAAGAGTAATGAGGATTCTTCCCCGCTTTCTGCTTTGCAACTGGAGAGTTACTTGAAAAGATAATTACACGGGTGATGTAACTTCAGTGTTTAGCTGACAAAGGAGCTGCTGTTAGGAGATAGTAAGATCTGCAGAATTATTAATTGAACAACTGGTATTCAAACTGCCCCAGAAAGCGTATAAAGACATATAAAGAATACTTTGGAGGAACCCTCAGCTGGCTTTCAAAGGGAAGGCTTCGTGCGGTTTTTATCATGAGCAGCATTTGATAAATAGCCGTTTGGTGTTGTTTTATTTCACTCCAGCATCTCTTTCAGTCTGCTGGCTGCGACCGAGCCTTCTACCGCACAATGCTGTTGATAGGTGTAACATACACTGTGCATTATTAATCAAAATGCTACGCTCTTTGATGGTTTGTTTGTCTTGTTTTCAGATGTCAGCCTTGTAATTGTCATCTCTCAGGAGCCTTGAATGAAACCTGTCACTTGGTCACGGGCCAGTGTTTCTGCAAACAGTTTGTCACAGGGACAAAGTGTGAGGCCTGCGTTCCCGGCGCGAGCCACTTGGACGTCCACAACCCGTGGGGTTGCAGCAAAAGTAAGTGGAGTCTGTGCACCGCTGGCATGGGGGGCCCTGGCCCAGGTGGGATTTCCTGCTCCAGTTAGGATCCCTGTACAGACTGGGTGCCATGTAGGGAATTTGGTTTAAAATTTTAAAAATTATACTACATGAAATGTCTGTGCCTTTCTTTGATTAATTCATTGGAAATGGTGAAATTATTATGTTTGTAACAGGCACTTTATAATGGTTTGTTGGGCTTACATTACCAGAGTAGTGATCAAATCCCAGTTTTCTCCAGACTGATGGATTTCTCAGGACATGAGGCTTTCAAGGGCAAAACCAGGGCGGCACTGGTTACATTAAATGGTTAGCCACTGTACCATGCAAAGCCACTCATTTCTAGGTAACTTTCTGTAACAAGGAGAGGTCATCTTCTTACTATAAGTTTATATTCTTTATTTCCCCAGAATTTTATGCACACTATCTCATTATTAATTGCTTACAGATATTGCAGTAATTGTCCTTGTCTATTTCTTTCTTCTCTGTGTAAGCATCTCTCCTATTTACAGTTTTAATTCCTTGAAGCAAAACATTGCACTGCTTCTCTTTTGGCTTCTCGATGCTATTTTCCAGTGTCTTCCATTGACCTCTCAAGGTCACCTGCTGTCTGCCAGGTGACTTCATGACATATGATGGTTTCTCTGTGTTTACTTCAAGATCAGATGTCCTTACCTTTCCCAGCATTCCTAAGGAATTCCTGCTGGGAACATGTGGTAAGGAGCCTTCTATGACATACTGTGCAACTCACTTCCTCCTTGGGGTTCCCGAGACTGTCAGGAGTCACAGCGCCCTGCAGCGCCAAGCGTCCTGACAGGTCCCGCCGGCCAGCACACCCCGGCATGCTGCACACATCTGAGGGCGAGAGGGAGAAGCAGCAGAATACTGGCCTCCGAAGCAGGAAAGGCAGGGAGGAGTAGCACAGAATCAGCGGATATCATCTGCTTTTGTTCCTGGGCAGCTGCTTTTCAGTGTCCTATGTTGTATCTGGATCTTAGTCTAAAATCCTCTGAGTTTCAGTAGAGGCCATTTCTATTTCCTGTGAGGAAGGAGTATCGTACCCAGCTCTGTGTGCAAATGCAGTCAAAACACAAATCTGGATTCTAGTCATCGCTAGTCCTTCGTGCATGCTGTGTTTGATTCCTTGGCAAGCCGTGTAAATCCCAGTGCACTCCTTTTGGCTGTGAGTTGTAGCTCTTCGTTTATACAGAGTGCTGGTGGTCTTGCTTAAACCATACATAAAGAGTGATCTGGGGCTGATTCTGCCACTGATTTTGTGTGGAAATATTGGAGCCTATGTCCCTTCTTGGTGCATCCTCTCATGTCACCTGGGAGGTGATGTCTGGGACACGGAAGCCTGACCTCCATTTCTTGGTTCCAGGAGATGCTTATATGTTAAGTCTTTCCTTCTCTGCAAGGAACATTCTTGATCATTCCAAGTGTTTGGATTTGTTATAATTCTAAAACCGTTTGCATTCATAATTTTCCATCTCTGCATAGATTATTTGTGATTTTTCTGTCTCTAAAATTGTGTTCCTTGGGCTGGGGACGTAGCTCAGTGGCATAGCACCTGCCTGGCAAGTGTGAGGTTGTGAGTTCAATTCCAGTACCAAAATCAATAAACAAATACATAAATAAATAAAAATAAAATAAAATTGTGATCTTTGGCATTGAATTCATCTCCTCAATTTGTGTGGCTGTCACCACTACTGCGTTAGCTTTGTCATTTAGCAAAACTGACTGAACAGTGTAAAGACAAGCTCCACAGCAGAGGGGACTCACCAAAGGACCATGCGACAGCGTTCTACCCTCAGGGGTGGTCCAAGCGAGACCCAGGCTGTAGAAGGGGAGCAGGGGGCACTAGATGTGGATGGAACATGAGGGGCCTTCTTCCTTGCCATTCACCTTGATCGACACGCAGCAGCAGCAGGGATGAGGGTGGGACAGGCATAGCACTCCCTGTCCTTGGTCTGTGAACCACCTCAGGCTGGCCCTGGTCTTTGTCCACCAGCTGTCACCTATGTACTTTCCTTGAACATTGAAAAGCCTCTCGGCGCCCCTCGTCATAGGCTGGGACCTGGGAGATTATGGCTATTGCTGTATTTTCTTTTTCTTTAGGAGCCATCTGTGACTCCCCCCCCCCCACCTTTTTTATTGGTGGGAAATCAGAGTGGAATGTAGAATATAATTTCCAAAGTGCAGAAGAATTGCATTTAAATAAAATAGCTAGAATCTCTCTGACCATATGCTTCCCTATGGGGTGGATCATTTCTTTCCTACCAGTGTTAGTTTCATGCTTCCTGAATGATAGCTGTTTTCCTTGAAGGGAGAGAGAGCAGCAAGCTGGTGTCGAATAGTTCTATCTTTGCATACTTTCCTAGTGAGTGATTTTCCAGTTTGTCCTAAGCTTTCCTCTATGACCTCTGTTGATGTGCGTGTGCGTGTAAATCCATGTGGACACAAACAACCACATACATCTTTGCTGCCATGCATAACACCCTTTTTAGTCTCCTAGACACTTTTCTCACATTTATGCTTTTCTTTAGTTTATGGTCAGCTTTTTTGCATGGTTTTTCCCCTTTATCCTGCTTCTCAGAGGGCCTCTGGTGGTTCTAATAACAGCTTTATGGAAGGCTAATTTATGCAAGTTTGATTATGTTACATGTAGTTTGATGAATCTTAGTAATTTTGTAATTGTGCAAAAGGATTTTAACACAGTCGTGGAGCACTTCTGTCACTCAAAAACTGTTCCTTGTGCTTTTTGTCAGCCAATCTCTTCTTCTAGCCCTGAGTAACAAGATCTATGGTTTTGATCTAGTAATTTTTCTTTCTCTGGAAACTTTGTACAAGCAAAAGTGTATAATGTTTAGGCTTTTTGCAAGACTTAGGCTTTTGTAAGTAGCTTCTTTTTCTTAGTAAAATGTTTCTGAGTTTCATGCATGTGGCCGCATATCTCAGGAGTTTGTTCTTCCTGTTGCTGAATAAGGTAGCACTTTATGGGTAGACACTGGCCTTTTGTCCATTAGTGAATTAATATGTGGATTCTTCCTGGTGCTTCTTGCAAATAGTCCTTCCATGGACATGAGGTTACAGATGTCTCTATGGACACAGGTTTTCCTTCCCTTCCTTTCTTCCTGTCTTATTATCTATCTATCTACTTACCTATCATCTATTTATATATCATCTACCTATCTTCTATCATCTACCTATCATGTATCATGTATCATCTATCTATCTATCATCTGTCATCTATCTGCCTATCTATGTGGCACTGAGAATGAACACTGGACCTTTACATTCCATATCCTCAGCTCTAATTTTTTACAAGAACTTTTATCTTGAGTCCTGCTAAGACACTAAATTGTCCACACTGGGATCAAACTTGCAATCCTCCTGCCTCAGCCTCCAGAGAGCTGGGAGTGCATTATGTGCCACTACACCTGGCTTAGACTCACATATTTTAAACTTGGGGATACACCTGAAAGTAAAGAGTTGTTTGTTGGTTGGTTTTGTAAAGAAACTTCCCATTGTGGCTGTGCCACTTTACATTTGCAGCTGTAAGCTGTGGGCCCACAGTTTCCCTGTCCCTCAGCACTTCCCACTCGTGCTGTCCCTCACGTCAGTTCACGAGCGGAGTCGCCATGGCTCTGACGTGCACTGCCCGGGGTCCGTGCTGCTGAGGAGTTTTCATGTGAACTTTTTGCCATTTGAACATTTCCTTGGTCAAGGTATGTTTCCAAACCATGGCCCGCATTCTGTGAGCTGTGTGTCTTCTTGTTGATTTAACGGATTCTTGAGATAAAACTTATGTTCATTCTTTTTTCATTTATTTCATGATATGCTTTGAAGAATAAAAATAATTTTAATTTGTATGAACTCTAATTTACCAAGATTTTCCTATTATACATCATTTAAAATTTTTTTGTTTGACCCATGTAACAAAGATTTTTCTCACTCTTTTCCCCTTAAAGTTTTGCATTTTTAACTTTTGTATCTGGATTTGTAAAACAATTTGAATTAATTTTATACACCTAGAAGATGAAGTCAGCATCTAGTTATTTTATTTTTATTTTGGGGAATGTGAGTATCCAATTGTTGCTATAATATTTGTTAAACTGACTATTGTTTTACTACTGAATTGTCTGAGCATTTATGCAAAAAAAAAAAAAAATTAACCCTGCACTGATACCTTATTCAGTGGTAAAAAGCTGGAAGTTTTCCCCTCAGGTCGGGCATAATGCAAACCTGTTCTCTTCTGCAACTGCCATTCAGCATAGTAATGCTTCTGGGAGGCAGGGCAAATTGGACAAGAAAAAGAGGTAAAAGGCACCCAACTTGAAAGAAAGCTATCTCTATTTGCCGATGATATGATCACACTCACAGAAAATGCAAAAGAATCTATAAGAAAGCTTTTAGAATTAATAAATTCAGCAGAGCAGTATCTTGAAGATCAATATGCAACATGATCGTGTTTCTATAAACAAGCAATGAATAATCTGAAAAGGAAATATAAAAAGCAATTCCCCTTACAGTGTTTGAAAAAATTAACCACAGATGAAAGACTCATACCGAAGACTACAAAATACCCCTAAAACATTCAGGAAGATAAAATTAATGGAAAGACACTACATGTTTGTGAATTTGAAGGCTTCATATCACTAAGGTAACAATACTCTCCATAGCAATCTGCAGACTCAGTTCAATTCCTGTCAGAATCCCATCCAAAACTCACTCAGAATCTTCAAAATTCCCAGATGCTAAAACAATCTCCTGGCTTCAGAAATAACTGTAAAGCTCCACTAAGCAAAACAATGTTGTACTCCATAGACAAACAGATCAGTGAAACATAGATTACATCTAAATAAGACCAGTGAAACAGAGATTCCATAAATTGGGGCATACAAAGAATGATCAGAAAATATGGTAAATGTTTGAATTTTTAAAAAACTCATTACAATAAAGGACACATTGCCATGAAA